AAAAAAAAAAAAAAAAAAGATCCCTAAGGATTTTTTATTAAGGTGAGAGAGGTGCATTAAAAATTTTTTACTTCCTGAGTTTGAGGCCTCAGCTACATAGTAAGTTTGAGACCAGCCTGAACTACATAGTGAGACTTTGTCTTCCCAAAACCAAAACCCAAAAACCAGAAACCAAACCAAAACAAAACAAAACACCTCAAAAGAAAGAAAAAACAAAAAAAAAACTGCCAGGCATGGTGGCACATGCCTGTAATCCCAGCACTTGGGAGGCTGAGGCAGGAGGATTGCCATGAGTTCAGGGTCAGCCTAGGCTACATAGTGAACTCAATGCCATCCTGAACTATACAGTGAAACCCTGTCTCAAAAAAATAAGAAATAAAAATAAATAAAAACAAAAAATTTTTCACCATGATTGTGGATCTATTTCTCTTTTTAGTTTTGTTACCATTTGCTTTTATATATTGTATTTATATGATGAAGTGCCTACACATTTAGAATGATTATATTTTCCTATTGAACTGAACCTTTTGTCTTTATGAAATGTTTCCCTTTATATTTAATAATTCTTGATTTAGAGTATACTGTGTCTAACCACTGTAGCTGCTTAAAATTTTTTCTCATCTTTCTTTATTCTATGTGTCTATCTAATACTAAAACACCACCCTATCTTCAACATGGTAGTTTAATAGTAAGTCTTGAAATGGGGTAGTGTTAAGCCTCAGTTTTTTTTCAAAGATGATTATTATAGGTACTTTGCATGTCTATGTGAACTTTAGTGTAAGCTTACTAATCTTTATTTTTTTTAAAGCCTGCTAGGATTTTAATTGGGATGATGCTGAATCTATCTATAGATCAATCTTAGAATAAACTATTTATTATCCTGACCTAAGAACATGAAAAAGGGTTCAGAATCCAGAAATGGACACACATATATTGCCACTGGTTTTTAACAAAGATGCAAAGACAATTCAGTGGAGGGAAAATAGGCTCTCAACAAATAGTACCGGAACAAGTGGATCACACACAAAAATTGAACAAAAAATGAACTTTGAGCCATACACAAAAATTAATTCAAAATGGGTTAAAGACCTAAATATAAATCTTAAGCTTATGAGAACTCAACAAAGAAACACAGGAAAAAATCTTTGAGGTCTTGGGTTAACCCCAGATTTCTGAGATGCAATACTAAAAGCATGATTCGTAAAAGAACAAACTGGACTTCATCAAAATTTTAAAAAATAACTTTTCAAAGGACAGTACTAAGAGAACAATAAAAGAAGCCAGACATTGGGAGAACATATTTTTAAAGCATATATATGGCAAAGAAATTATATCCAAAAATATGTAAAGAACCATCAAATATCAATTATAAGAAGCAAATAACCAAATAAAAATGGTTGAAAGATCTGAACTGATATTTTAATGAAGAAGATAGGCACATGGCAAAGAATACATGTGCAAAAATTCTCAACATAGCAATTAAGAAAATCAAGGTTAAAACCACAAGAAGATAGCAGTACACATTTATTTGGAATGATTAAACTTAGAAAGACTCTAGTAAGTGTTGAAGAGGGTGTGGAGGAACTGGAATGCTTACACTGCTGATAAGAATGTAATATGTTACTATTATGTTGAAGAACGTTTTGGCTGTTTCCCTAAAACCTAATACCTACTACTCCCAGGTATTTATCTAAGAGAATGGAAACATATGTCCTAATACTTCCTACTCCTAGGTATTCATCCAAGAGAAATAGAAGCATATGTCCAAAGAAATACCTGTATGAATGCTCAGTGGAGCTTTATTTCTAATAGCAAAAGACAGATTGTTCTTAGAGTTCTTACTTGCACTCTGGAGGCCAAAATATGCTGGAATCGAGTGTCTAGGCTGTTGAGAGGAAAAGCCTGAGACTCAGAATGCTCTCCCCCGTGGCTCATTATTAACTTCTTTAACCTGACAGTGGGAAGAAGATAAGTCAGAATCTGCAGGATTTAGTGAATGGACCACCCCATCTGAGAAAAATATTGGAGAACAACTCTAACAAAATCCCAGATACCAGAGACTTGAAGATAAGGAATTTTTAATGTTTTAACACAGTCTTTTAGACTCCTGTCACCATAAATATAGTCCCATATCTGTTTCAGTGGCTGCTTAGTGCTAAATTCTGTGTATCACAATTCCTTTATGGACATGTTTCTTTTTAAAATAATATCACATGTCATAAATGTACCAAATCTACCCAGGCTGGCAGGAGACTCTGAAGAGGAACGGTTCAGGGAAGAAATGAAGCCAGTGGCCCAGTCTCTGATCTTGTCTGGGAGGAACATCAGGCTGGTGGCTCAGAAGCTCCACCTGCAGCCAGAATGTCAGTACCACCGAGAGGAACTGGTGACCACCGCACAGCAGATCGTAGTGGACACCACAAAGGTGAGGCAGCTGCCAGAGCCGGCTGGCTGGCTGGACACTGCTGGGAAGCACAGAAGGGCATGTTATTCCCCAAAGAGTGAAACTGCCCGTGTGTCTGTCAAGAGTATAGACACAGAATTCATTACCAATTTAATCAGTGCTACCTAGAGAACAGGGTAGACATAGCAAGTTAGAATCCATGATCTTAAACCCGCATGTAGCTGCCTCATCCTCCACACTTCACCTCCAACCTCTAATAAAACAAAGTCACCAAAAAAGTCATTTCCCACCCTGCCTGTGGCCAAGAGCTATGGGGAGAGGCAGCCGAAACCTCTGCAACCAGGCTCTGCAACCAGTTGGCAAAGGAGGCTTCCAAATGAAAGCTCCGCTACACTGGCCTACCATGGAAAGAGTCTCGGAAAGACTGGATCATCTCTGAGCTTGCAGATAGTCTTCATTTTCTACACTGGCATCCATCACTACGGCACAATCCTTTGAGATTAGGGCACTGCTCCTTGTTAGAATTCATGCCCTTTAAATATCATCAAGCATTACTGTGTGTGACCTTATTAGTGTGGGTTATCGGGGAGGGATATTTGTATTTTACGGGTTCAGTTAAAGGATGATCGGAAATGGGGAGATGAGAGAGGCAGAACCAGAGGGCTTAGGGCACCTGCTGATGGGAGGAGAGGGTGGAAGGGCAGACCCTTAGTTTGGGTACCAGTTGAAGCATCTTGTGGAAGGAGTTAGAAACAGCTGTCTGGGAACGCAGGGTCGGGCTAGGAGAGATGCCTCAGAGGGGCTTCCCTGACAGGCCAGCCCTCTAGCCGCTCAGGTCATCCTCGTGCAAGCAGCAAACCCTCCCTAAATGCTCCACATTCTATCCCACATTAAATGTGGCTCCCACCTAGGGGCCCTTCCATTCCCAGTTAAACAAATGTAACCAGGGATAAACGCCGTCCCACATTGAATGTTTCTGGCCTGGGATTTTACACTCTTAATAGTTTTGGAAGGTTTAAAGGCGTTTATTTATAAAACCAGGGACTACACATTGCTGTCACCGCTGTCTCCATTGTTCCAAGAGCGCGGGCTCATCTTCGCGCCTCTCTTCCCCGCTCAGGTCCTGCTCCTTGAGGACGCAGCGATGGCGAGGAAGACGGTGTGGGCTGCGGGTTGGTGCTTGACCTGCCTGGATGCTCTGGAGGCTGCAGACCCCACAACCTCCCTGCGCCGCCCCTTCGCCGACCTGGCCGCGGCGATGCTGCACCTCGGCGGCCTGCTG